CCAAGCATTGAGTCGTCATATATGAAAGATAAAACTTGTGAGATCTGATCTGAATCCTATTGTATCTCAAGAGTTCGTTTAATAGATCCACAACCTCCCATATGTCTATTATATGTGGTAACAGCTTTTGGACAGAGACCAGCTTCGTAGATGCCAAATTTACAAGTCGGTTGTCATGCCCCCCTTGGAAGAGATATATCAACGTTTTTGAGAGTTGTAAGCTTTCCGACTATAGCCAACGTGTACCAGTTATTAAAGAAGAGTGTACAACATTGCTTGAGGTGCTGATATTCGGCAAATCATCATCCAAAACTTCTGGAACATGAGTATCACCTTCAACAACCTGATAATTTGAAGTCGTAGCTGAAACCGGAACTTCCACTTAAGACAAAGTTTTTGTATACCCATTTTTGAGGTTTTCTAATATTGTATTGCCAATTGGAAGATCTGTTCTTAGTTGGAATTATCCGTTCATCGACAGCCATAGATATACTGCTCTCTAGGAAAAGCCAATAATCGTTTTCTTACTTGGTTAAGAAATGGCCAAAAGTTTATGGAGAGGATCATAGCCAGCCTGATCTATGAGAATTTGGGTAAAGGGACAACATTACTAGGGAATAATAACAGAAATTTCTTACACATAATTATATATATCAAGAAACAGATTTTTCCAACTCCAGTGCTGGTCCAAATAAAGGCCGAGGAATTTTATTTCAGCAACCTTTTCAATTTCTTGATTGACTCTTGACTTTTGTTTTAGGGGTATTGGCCTGGTTGATGCAGAATGTTATATATTAGTTTTGAGTAAATTTGGATATAAATTATTACTTTTTTTTATTTTATTATTTCCTTTTTTTTATTATTTCCTTGGAGTCAATTTACTGTAGATGTGGCAGTATGATTAACTTTAAGTTCATAATCAGATGGCTTTTCTTTACTTGTTATTATAAATGATATATCGTCGGCATAATCGTCGGTATTAATGACCTTCCATTGGCAATCAATCAACATTATACTCTACAATGTTGATTGATTGTCATTGGAAGATCATTAATACACAAAATAAAAGGTAAAGGACCACGAATTGTACCCTGTGGCACACCTTTTATAGTGAGTTGGAATTAAGAGCTATGTGTGACATGTTCATTAAATTCTAGTTATTTAAACGCGTTGAGTTCTGTTACTTAAATAAGATTGCATCCATTACAATGCAAGTCCTCTAATGCAATATTTTTCAATTTTATTTAGCAACAGTTCGTGGTTGGAATGGTTTACTCATATCGAAAAAGATACTAGTAACTTTCATACGTTTATAATGTAACAGAAAGCTATGACCCGAATTAGTGTATAATTAGCTAGTGTTGTTAATGTTTCTTTTTGAAAACCGTTTTGTTCTTCCCGTAAAACGTTATGTTTATTTCGATAACTATTCAGTCTGGTATGCATTGCTTTTTCAAATATTTTAGCTAATATTGGGAAAAGGGAAACAGGTCTATAGGTATTTATTTCTTTTTTATTGCCCGCTTTATGAATTGGCTTAATCACAGAAATTTTAAATTTGTTTTGAAAGATTCCATATTTTATTGATATATTAATAATAGAAAGAACTAGAGAGAGAAAATCGGCACAAGACTAAGATTTATGAGGACGTTTTGTGAGTTGGGCCTAATATATGTAATTTTAAATTATAATTTGCTAAAAGTCACTTCAATCCTACGACAATTTATTATTTACAAGAGTATTAATATTAAAATCACCTGGTATTACAATATAATTTTTATTTTTTTGTATGTGATAATTTATTTAATAGTAAGTACTTGTAATTTCTTAAAGAAAATAAATGCATTCGAATTGGTGTTCTATAAAGACATACTATATTACAATTCCAATATGGTATTTCTACACCACAACACTCATTGATTTTTCAAAGATTTTTCTACTGACATTTCATTACAATAATTTATAACATTAAGATCATAATATTGTTTCCTTACCAATATACAAACACCGTCACAGCATTCACTTCATCTACCATAGGAACTAGCTATTCGAAAATCTTTCAAATTGATGATATTTTCATGCCCTGATTTAGTAATAATAATAATAAAACTTTATTTCAGACAGCAGTCCACAAATTGGTTAGTAACATAACATTATTATAGAATCATTGTTAGTTAAATTGCTTAAAATATAAGAAAAAAAAATTATCATACATTTTAGCAAAAATACCAAAAATTATTAAAAAATATACATTTAATTTTTATTAAAAATACATTTGATGTAATAAAAGTTTCAGTAAAACAAAGAACATTTAAATATGTGTGTTTCAATATGTTCATTAATACATATTTCTAACATTAATAATTTGTTGAGAAGTCCACCTATATTTTGATGAAACATTACGACTTTATTATTTAATTCATTAAAATTAACGAAAGGAATTATTTTTTGTCTTAAATAACATATCTTTGCATGACACCGTAATGCAAAGATGTTATTTGATATATGTTTTTTATTTTATTTTTGTAACCACTTGAATGTCGGGGTCATTTAGGCCAATATGGCGCATCTGTCGAGCACTTTCCGAAGTACTAAGTAAGTATATAACAAGTATACTAAGTACCGTAAAGGCGGGTTACTTTAGCTGTTTTTTTTTCAGTTATTTTACGAATTTAATCTGTAGTTTGTATTGGTATTGTCCTTTTAGTGTTCTTATATGTTATAAAGAAGCTCGAGTATGTACTCAACAAGAAGTGCGAAGTGTATTTTAGAAATATGATAAGAGTAACTTGTTTTTTTTAAGTTAAAGTTTGGGCCAAAGTTGTTCTTCGGAAAGGGTTAATTTAACCCCATGAACTTTATCGCTGAAAAATCGCACTTGCAGCTATTATTGGCCCAAGAAACCATCAAGGGCGGGCAAGATTGAATATCCAAGAGAGATTTAATGTAAGAAAAAAGTTCGAAATAAATACACACAACGTACACGTACGTGTACACAATGTAAAATCAATATTATATACGAGGGTGGATTGAAAAGTACTCGGCCTAACCAAGAAAATAAACACATACTAAATCAGTTATATTTTTATTTTTCTACATAATCACCATCAGGTTCAATACACTTTTGCCACCTCCTCTTCCAAGCATTTAGACCGTTGAAAAAAAAATGATTCTTCCTTAGAGTCAAAATATGCGTCTACAGCTGCTTTGACCTCGTCGTTTGTCGAAAATCTTTGACCTCCCAAGTGCTTTTTTAGGTTAGGGAACAGAAAGAAGTCTGATGGTGCCAGATCAGGTGAATACAGCGGATGCGGTAACAGTTCAAAGCCACAGTTGTGAATTTCAGCCATTGACTGTACTGACGTGTGAACACGGGCGTTATCTTGATGAAACAGGACTTTTCTTCTGAGCATTCCTCGACGTTTTTCTTTTATTTTCTCTCGTAAACGACGTGGTAAGGTGCAGTAGTAATCAGAGTTTATAGTCTGACCCCTTTCAAGATAATCAATCATAATCACACCTTTCGAGTCCCAGAATACTGAAGTCATCACCTTATTTGCGACAAATTTTAGGGGGTGGTGAACCAGGTCTTCTCCACTGTTTTGATTGTTGTTTTGTTTCCGGTGTACAGTAATGAACCCATGTTTCGTCCATAGTAACAAAACGATTCAAAAAATCATCTGCATCGGCTTCAAATAACTCCAAACAGTCGCGTGAAATAGTCAATCGCGTCCTTTTTTTGTTCAACTGAAAGCAGTCGCGGAACCCACCTCGCAGACACCTTGTGGAAACCCAACTCGTTGACAATGATGTTTTGAGTTCGTTCATAAGAGATGCCTATAATCTCGGCTATCTCTCTAATTTTTAATCTGCGGTCTCCCATTATTAAATCAAGTACTTTTTAAATATTTTCGTCAGTAGTTGACGTCGAAGGCCTTCCAGAGCGGGGTTCATCTTTCACATTCTCTCTACCACACTTAAATTCTGCTATCCATTTTTTGACGGATGAATGTGACAGAGCACAATCGCCTAATGTACTGACCATGTCATCATGGATGGCTTTTGATGATAGCCCCTTCTTATGGAGGTACTTAATGACGGCACGCTGCTCGATTTGCTCCATTCGCGGAAATTATGTCCGATTACTTTGTTAATAAATTTATAAAATCACAACTAATTATCGCACACGTTTCGAACTTCACACAATGAACTAGTCTGAACTGAACTAAATAATGTGGGTAGATTTGATTTTTAGAATTGAATGGATCTGTGTTAGGCCGAGTACTTTTCAATCCACCCTCGTATTTCAAAAAGATTTACAGTAAGTAAATTTCTCAACAATATCTCAACTCAGTAGCAAACTTACAGAATAATATTATCTTAGGTTAATTGGGTAACATTTACAAACATATATTTTACTTCTCAGTCTAATTAAATTATAATTTCAGTCTTATTTAAATGAGAATCAACGTTTACTAGTAGCATAGGTAATCTAATTTTCTTCTCTTAGTTTCTCTCTTAGTTCTTATTACACTTTCATTTCTGGAACCGAGAAACAACCCTTTTTCTCCAATTTTGGAGGTCCAATCTTACACACTATGTGGTCTTTTATCGTGGACCACCGCCAGTACGTCTTACCTTTTTTCATGCACGTTATAAAGGCTCCTACCTCGGAAACTGCTAAGACTTGACCTGGGTATTTGCGTGAGTTCCATATTACTTTTTTTTTTTTATAGAAGAAGGGGCAAACGAGCATGCGGCTCACCTGATGTTAAGTGACTACCGCCGCCCATGATCAACCGCAACACCAGGAGAATTGCGGGTGCGTTGCCGGCCCTTTAGAAAGGAGTAAGTAATTACTAGAACATGGTCGCCTACAACAACATCTAGATCAAGTGAACCTCCTCGAAAACCTGGTGGCTCTAACGTATCCTGCGGTAACTTTTCGATTTGACGTGCAGGCGAGTCCCGCAAGTTTTTGTCTCGACAATCTTCTACAACTACCTGCATTTTCTCTCTTTCACTACATTTTTCTTCAACGATCTGTATATCCTCAATGGATCTGTTACTTGAAGAACAGGAGAGCCATACTCCTCTTCTACTTCACTCTCCTGCTGAAGATCAGGCGAATGTCGAAATGCAGCTGCATCAGTATCACTAATCTGACTCACATAGTTGGCCAGAAGAACATCATCCTCAGAGTCATAAGGCATTATGTGGTCTTCAGTGGAAGAAGCTAGACTAATGGTCCTGTCACTGCAGCTTGAAGATGAAGAGACGTTGAGTTGTCTTCGTTTTGTTGCCCTTTTCTTTTCCTTTATAGTTTTAGCGTGCTGCAAACCCGATGGACCTGCTTCTGCAAGGTCAGTGGCACAGATTGATTTTCCAGGTGGTACATTAAGTTTCTTTTTCCTAATTGTTTTCTGTTCTGGGCACGCCTCAGCTCGGTACTGCACCAATTTATGCATAAAAGAGTTCCCTATAAGACCTGCGTTTATTATTCGATCTTGTTTGGGTTATCTAGCTAAAGGCTTCTCTTTGTCAATGGGGTATATGCCTGTCTTTCTGAAACCAGCAATCAAATTCGCCTTGGTCTCGGTCAAAGAATCCAAAGCCGTTTTTAATAGTCGTGGAAACTGATCCTTAGGTGTAGTCGACAGTTTCCTACAGTTGACTGTTCTTCCATTGAAACAATACTTGCCGCCACTTGCACTTCAAAGGTCGAAAAATGCGACGTCTAGTGGCTGAAGTATATGTGTAGCGTTGGGTGGCAAACAAAACTAACATTGTGCTTCTCACGCTCGTTCAAAACTGTTTTATTAATGTGTGAAGCAAGGTTGTCTCCAATCACCACTTTTTTACCATTTTTCTTCTTAAGAACTGGCATAAGATTATTGAGAAACCAGTCTTCAAAAGTTGCGCTGTACATCCATCCGCTCTTTGTCCTATTATATCGAGCGCCTTCGGGACCATTTTCAGTCCAAGTCGACCAGAGATTATCCGACTTATAAACGATGCACGGTGGAACTGTTTCCTCAGCGGCTTTGCCACAGAACATGACAGTAAAATTAACTTTTGTAGCGTTTACTATTGTTTCCGGATATTTTGTTCCTCTTATGCATAATATAGTCTTTTTTCCTGGGTCATCACAAAGATTGCTTTCATCGTAGTGGAATATGTTTTCGGGTGGAACGCTTTCTAGTTCTTTGTCGATGTTTTCTATAAAATTGTAAATGACATCTTCCGACACTTGAGCTCGAACTCTTTTGATATTGTTAGCAAGTCGCCGTGAAAGAGATTGATGTCGTGAAAGAAAAGAAGTCAACCAGTCTTTACCAGGAATATTGTTCTTAAAATTTTCTGGGATTCAAGGTAATTTTTGATTATCATTTTTAGGTCGAATGCTGTCAGCGGAAACTCATATTCCGAAAGTGCAGTTATGTGAGCTTCAAACGCCTTTTCTTCCTCTTCAGTAAAAATTGTAGGTTTATCTGGTTTGTTAGGGTGCTTCCGGGTTAATTTGTTTTTCAAAGTGCTGCGAGGACTGTTAAATAACTCTGCAGCCGCTCTTTGTGTGAGCACTTTGGATTGGATTGCATCCAGACATTTTTTTTAAATCTGCCTGGGTGTAGTCGACATATCGACGACTGCCAGGCTTTCGTCTGTACACGGATGGCATCAGGAATGTCGCTCTGTGTTTTAATTCTGTAGCAAATTGATCAAAAATGTAAAGTTCTCCACTAATAAACTTTGCAGGGTTACTTTAGCCCCCAGGCCCAAAGTTACCCGAAAAGGTGTTCAATGTATACCGATTTTCTAGATTTGTCATTAAATCCCAACACATAAGTAAATCGACTTTAAAAACAATTGCCATACTCCTACATACATGCCTAAGAAAATAAATAACAGTCCAATTTGAAAACTTACCAATATACAGCTTCAGACACCAAAGTTTGCAGCAGAAAAATACACCGGTTTTACTGTCAAAAGTTTAAACGACGCGAACATGTAGCGAGGTGCACCCGAGTCGGTAAAACAGTTCCGCAAGTACGCGTCTATATCGCCATCTATTAGTTACTAAAGGAACTACGACGTTCGATTGTGTGTTTGTTTGTGTGGTCGTGACACAGCGGGCAGTTAAATCATTTTCTCGATTTCAAAGGTCAAAGTAACCCGCCTCTACTATATATATATATATATAATAAGTAAGTATAATAAAATCATATATCAATGGAAAACTTGTTTATGTTATATATATGTTACAAATAGTTTGCTATCACTCGACGCCATATTGTGGCGTTTGACAGAAGCGCATGCATATTATTTGAGACGCCAGAATATGGCGTATGGACAGACGAGGGGTTAAATAATATGGTATTGTTCCCTTTTTAATGATTTGATGTGTTTCAGATTGATCACTTATGTTTATTATTTGTTTTTTTTTTTAGTATAATGTGTTTTGCATTTTTATAAAATAATAGGGTATAGTTCCGGTTTGCAAACAGTTGAGAAGGTTTTTGATTTTTTTGGACTTTAAAATCATATTTGAATAATCTCTTGAGTCTATTAACAAACCAATTTTATAACAAAGTTTGTCAAAATATTGTTTCTTAGTAATCTATTTGATAAATATATAAAATTACAATTATTCACATTATTACATATATAGTGTATGATTTAATTTAATTGTATTAAGATAATTGTTTTTATTTATGCTGAATAATATAACATTTATATCATGATTGTTATTTTGAAATTATTAAAAGCGACGAAAGCCCGACGCATTGTTGACTGCCTATTATCTGGGGGCACGGCAGTGCCCCGCCAAGTCGAGCAAAAAAAGCGGCACGGCCGTACCATACTTTTCTCGAAGCAATTCTGGCCATTTTCGACCCCCTATAACTTCGCAGTGAATAAAGATAGAAGACTAAATTTTGCAGAAATCGAGTAGACATTGTATAAACAAAGTATATCAAATTTCATTCAATTTTAACCACTAGTTGAAGAATTATAACTAGTCAAAGTTTCTTAATTTTGTCACTCACTGACTGACCGATCATCAAAACTTTAAGGCACTTCTAGCTGACGTAGAAGCTTCAAATTTAGAATACAATTAGTGTTTAGTGTATAAATCAAGGAAAAACTAAAATATTGTTTAATTTTGGTCCAGTTTTCTAGATACACCAACTGCATAAATAACTTGGCAATCGCCCCAGGTAATCTAATTTAATATAATATGTATTATGTACTTGTAAGATACATTGTGTTTTCTTGCGATGGCCAAGTCAATCTATATATTTAAAACATATAAGATTTTTACCATTTATATGGTCACTATAAAATGTTGTCAGGTTAGCTAATTACGTAATAACTTATAACAGAGGGACCCTTACGTAGGGACTGAATAAATTACCGACTTGGTATTACATGGATCTCATAACTTTTTACAGTAGAAGAATTGAGTTGCGAGACTTCGTTAGCAGGTTTTTTGTGGTTTTCTATAGCTTTTGCTGATCTTTTTTTTACATACCTTATGTATTCCATAGTTTAAGTTATCAATTTCAACGTTAGCTCTATCCAATTTCTTCTGTAAGTTCTTTTTTTTCCTTAATTCGTCTGTATCACTGTCATAACCAATCGATAAATCGGGTAGGCTGTGTCTTCTAAAACCTGATGTCTTTGATATAACGGAGCAATCAAAACTCTGATACTGAATAAATTATTTGAGTTGCATTTGACTTGTCCTCTGTTTACGAATTGTGATATCGTTTACGATTTGTCAATTTCCATTGTCTCTTGTGTGTAACAAAAAAAAACATAAATCTTATTTTATAATATTTTTTGTAATGTTTGTAAGGATTCGATCTACCGATTAAAGATACAGGTTCCGCTGTCTTGCAGAAATTGAGCTTTTTAACTAATAGCACATTACCGAATTTACTCAATAATACTTGTTTCTTTTATTTACTGGTCTAGAGTGTGGGTGATATTGTTTTAAATATAAGCTACTTCACATTTAAATATTTTAACGAAGTACCCCATCTTCTTCACAACACATTTTCCTTTTTTGTCTTTTTTAACAACTTTTAGGCATTTGTTGCCTCAAGTACTGTTTCAACTACTTTAGTATTTAAAATTTGCACTAGTTTCATAATAATACATAAATGTGTGGTCCCTATAAATTATAAAAGTATTAACTTTTCTCTAAGATAACTTAGGATGTTGATGTATGTACAGAATCCTAGTTGTGCTAGCATTATTGTTAAAATCCATTCGCCTTTACTACTTTAAATTGAATTAAAATCGCGGAGCGATCGTTACAGCGGCTACAGCGCCCTCTTCCTTTGTTCATATTGATCTCGTCAGATTTTGTTTTCTCAAGGTTTTTTTAGAGAGAATTTGATTTTTAAATGAATTTGATGGCGGCAAAAAGTGCTCGTCGCGCTGTTGCAGTATGTGTAAATACGTCTTCATTTTTTTAATTAGTTAGACAATAATTTAAAAAAAAAAAAAAAAACGAGTCTGCTTATGACTACACGACTGAAGTTAAAACTTCTTTAGCTCCATCCGTACATCCACACATACATGTACATATATTAATTTTGTACAAATATTTAAATTTATTATCGGCTTCCTTCCATAATTTGTTATTATTTACCCGAAAATTCACAAAACATGAACTTTAAAATGAATTTACAATTTTATTCACTTTAAACGTAGAATATTTAATGTATTGAACAAAATTTTAATTCATAAAATTGCTTAAAACGAAATAAATATACGAAAAATAACTGGCTATGAGAGAAAGAAAATGTGCGCGCACTTTTCTGTCTTGCTTATATCCTCCACTCAACTTGCCGTTCGCCTCGCCCGATCACACTTTTCGTAACGCTTTCATCAAGCGTTCGCCAGCTTACTCCTCAAGTCAAACGTGCTTAAAGAAGTTTTACTTCAAAAATATGTTTTAAAAATGTGTGCTCAAAGTTTGCTCACTTGTCTAGCGCCGGTATCATATTTTTATCAAAAGTATTCAGGTAGAGCTATTTTTCTGATCAATGTTGGCATTTAAAAAATAATTAGGATGGGAATTTACTTCTCAAAATGCCGTCCCGCAAGAATCGCTCTGAGCCATGGCAACTTTGCCCTAACCCCCTAACGCCACTGCTTTTATCGCATCATGTAATAGCTTAGTTAGTAAAAATAATACTAAATAATGTATACTACTGTATAAATATTTACATAAACATAAACCCTCACGCCTGTCACCCAGAGGGGTAGGCAGAGAATACAGACTTTCATTTGGCACGATCCTGACACACCTCTCTCGCCTCCTTCACATCCATATACCTACGCATACATGCTCGTCGGTTAAGGGTACTCCTATTTTGGCCCGTTTTCAATAAATCGCCAATTTGGTGGATAAATTTTCACCTAGGACGTCCCTTTCCGACTCTGCCATTCACTTCTGCAAGATACATTTTCTTTGCCATTCTTTCCCCATTCATTCATTCCACATGACGAAACCACCGAAGCATTCCTTTCTTAATCCTGGTCACAACATCATCTATAAGGCAATAAATTATTTCATAAATAATTAACCCATTAATTTAAATAAAATTATAATAAGTAATTAATTTATTTTGAATAAAAGTTTGAAGTTCAGAAATTATATATTTATTAATTTTATTAATTTCATTTCATTTTTAATTAATTTCATTGCAAGAGATTCTGTATTAAAACAATACATTTGTTAATACTATCACCAAAACTTGATGATTTGCTTTTTGGATAATTTAAAATTTATTGACAGTAAATTGCAGCATGTTACAATGGGTATGTAAATTTAATATTAGTGTGTTAATACATAATTTTTAAAACGAATAAATATTATTGTTATCATTATATGCGCATTTATTAAACTTAAATTTTGACAAATTTTATATGAAATTTTAGTTTAATGGTGTTTATGATCCATGCTTAAAGTTTATAAAGAGTATAAAGCTTATAAAGACTGATTGTAAATTGGTGCTTTGAGTGAACAAGTTTTTGAATAAAATATTGTACTTATGATTAATGGTATTTAAATTTCACATTGAGTTGCCACGAAAATAATTCTTTTCTAATGCCTTATCCTATATTAAAGAAATCTGATTTCAAACGCTTATTTTCGTTTAGTTTTATTGGAGAATTACCTACTTATTCTTCCTGAGCGTGGATGTTCAGGCTGCATCCTCATTATAGAAAGTCACACGACTATCTTACCGTCTACAGGTTAAAATCATCTTCGCTCATTTCAACTCTCCACACCGATTCTCGACGTGGGGAATTTGCATCTTCCCTGTTGGACCTTCTACTGATCTCTCATCCGGACGGCTATCATGTCTCCTTCGATCCGGTTTGGTCAAAAGAGGCATCGACAGTGACGTACAGAACAACCTGAGTACGGTGTCACTCACATTTTCGTTGTGTTTGCTTCCAGGCTTCCGCTACGTTGAAAACTAGGTTTTTGGATTGGGATCGGCATTTCAGGGTTACTTAACCGACCAGTATCAGCACAACCGTCAGCGGAGCGTATTTGTATGAAATGTATCGTCGTCCCACGTTAACGCTATATTCGTAAACAAGTGAAACATGCGTCCACACTCGTGTCACATTTGTTGCAAGCACAGACTATTAGGACATGTTGCGAAAGTGAATTATTGTTTCGCTTTGTTATTTTGGTTGGCTATTGCTCCTCATAGTGCTCCTTGAAAGCGGGGGGCACAGCAACTGTTTCGGAAACACGTTGTGCTTACTGTAACAATATCTTTTTTTTTAGACGTACACACGGCTTTAGATGTACACACGGCTTTAGACGTACACACGGCTTTAGACGTACACACGGCTTTAGACGTACACACGGCTTTAGACGTACACACGGCTTTAGACGTACACACGGCTTTAGACGTACACACGGCTTTAGAAGTACACACGGCTTTAGACGTACACTCGACTTTAGACGTACACACGGCTTTAGACGTACAATGCCAGTTATTGATTTGTGTCTCGCCGTAAAATTTTCACCACAACGAACTTTTGAAAGGAGACGGGCGAAAGTTCATAGGAAGCTGGGCCTGATGTTACAGTAACGATTACTGCATTATTTTATTTATATACCAATACCATTTTTAAAAAACTAAAATGTTTACGACTGCTTCATGGTAGGAAAAAAATGTTATTGCTTTGTATCAAAATAATGTTATTGCTTACGTTATGCTTACAATGTTATTCTTACACCGAGCTAATGTGAATTACACTTTCAGAAAATAATTATTAGACTTTATTGTAAACTAGACTTTACCATAATTTGAAGTATATAGTAGGACATTCACTCACAGAGGATTCAGACGCCGCCGTCCAATTAATTTCTAGAGATTTGAAATAATTATTATAAAACAGAGGGAGTATGAATTAAAAACACTTTCTCTTTCAATGATTTATTAATTGTCCACTTCATCATAAACAAATAAAATATCGACTATAAGAGGTGCATGCCGTATTAAATTCTCTTGATGCATTGCCCAGCTTAGGTACCATATCAGGACATTACATGACAACAGCGACCTACAGTTCTTTTTCCTACCAAGCAATTAAAATAATACTGTTTGTACTAATACTAATACTGTAATACTGTCAACTAAAATATATGTAAAATATGTTTTTGAGCTGTCTGATTTGAATGTCTCAATTTCATTTGACCTCTTAATAGCCAGTTAGAATGGTTGGATATTCACTGTTATCTTAGTAGACACACTTCCATTTCATATCTCCCATCTTGTCGTATGTGTTCTCCATAATGGGACCTAGTCTACTTAATTTGATAAATATCTAAAGATATTTTTATTAAATCACTATGCGTGAGCTGGAGAAAATCATTTAAATTATCATTTTGCACATGTATTCTTCAAGAAAATAAACCGTCAGAATCCTTTATACGTAGCCAGAGTCATTAAAGATCAGAATATTATTACAGCATACAAAAACAACGGAAAATATTCAATACCACCGCAACTACTTACACCGTGAATACTTTTTGTATACCTTAAACTCAGAGCCAAACAAGCGTAACAAATGATTTGATTGACGTTTGAGTTTTTGAACTAACGTTGACATTTCCGCTTTGTGGCCTGTATAAAACATTGATAATCGATTGTGAAATTGATTTATTAATCTATTTAGTCAATTTAATTTTACGACTTTTTTGAAACGTTGAAGTGTCTCACGAGGAAACCATCATTTAAATAATAAGTTTCTTAAACTCACCTAAAGAAGAAAACACTGAATCACGTTTTATTGTCTTTTTTCTATTTTTGTATTGAAATCGATTCATCATCATCATTACAGCCCTTCACAAGTCCACTGCTGAACATAGGCCTCCCCCAAGTAATGCCACAAAGCACGGTCCTGAGCCACCTGCATCCATCGACTTCCTGCATGTCTTACCAGGTCGTCACTCCATCTAGTGGGGGGTCGCCCTACACTACGCCTACCGGTACGAGGCTGCCACTCGAGAACCTTTCTTCCCCATCGGTTATCGGTTCTTCGAGCTATATGGCCGGCCCATTGCCACTTCAGCTTACTAATCCGTTGGGCTATGTCGGTCACTCTGGTTTTACTGCGGATATCCTCATTTCTGAGTCTATCACGCAGAGAAACTCCAAGCATAGCCCTCTCCATAGCTCGCTGAGCGACCTTAAGCGTCCTCATACGGCCAGCAGTGAAGGATCACGTCTCAGGTCCGTAAGTCATCACTGGCAACACGCACTGGTTGTACAATCTAGTTTTTAGAGATTGAGGTATACCTGACGAAAAAATATGTCGTAATTTCCCGAACGCTGCCCAGGCGAGTTGAATCCGTCGGTTGACCTCTCGGTCGAAGTTGGACTTACCTAGTCGGACTATTTGTCCCAGGTAAACGTACTCGTCAACAACTTCGAGCATAGTGCTCCCAACAACTACCGGCATAGGTGTGACATGGACATTAAACATGATCTTTGTTTTGTCCATGTTCATCTTAAG